ATAAAAAGAGTTTTAATATATATATATATATATATATATATATATATATATATTGTTTGAACGGACAAGCGACAGTACCCAGATGTTGTGTCAGTCATGCGAATAATAAATGAACCCAACTCAATAAAGACTGTTATTTTGAATGTGACCGATGAAAATCAAGTCCCCAGAGCCGATGAGAACCGCCTGTGTGGTTACATTAACGTGCGATTCAAGGTACGCACCAAATCTGCGCAGAAAACGCATAAAGTACTAAAGCAACTCGAGTGCTTATTTCTTTCTTATGTAGGCTTAGATGGCTTTGGGCACATTCCCAAACAAACAAGTGAGAAACATGAAGGCAGGAGTAGTAGTCCTCCATAGAATCCTTGGGTCAAGTCCAAACACCACATAGTAAGTAGTAGCCGGCTGAGAAACAATGCCAGTCAAGTGTATCCGGGCCGGAAATTCGTCAATATGTAGATCTATGATTACCTAGATATAATGAACCATCAACTAAGGCATCGTCCTGTAAGAGAAGAGAAGCCAATCTATGCTGAAAAGTCGAGAAGCACTGTACAGTTGCTTCATCCATCAACCTCCCGGCTAGTGGTTCGGACATTTAACAGTTTGGCCACTAGCGGTTCATTAGCATTGCGATTAACTCACCACTTATTTTTCAATGAAGAACGAAAACTAAATCAATTTCTTGCCATAATAGCGTGCATTCGTGCAGCAGAAAAAGTGGACACATTTGGTTTCACTGTTACTTCATCAGGGCGGTTACCAATTTCAGGGAGTTGTCTCGATACTTCAGAGATATTTTTTGCGTCTTTCGCACGCAGCAGCCAAACTTTACTACCTTTGTTCTTTGTCATGATTCTCTAGCAGAATTTCCGTTGTTTTATATTTGGATTTGGAATGGACAGGTCGGTTGGTTGGAACAGGGAAAACCCGGTTCTCTTTGTCATGTCAGACTGTTGCGAATAATGCGAAACGAAAGCTTGGTTAATTCTATCTCGTTGAAGTTCTCTGAGGCGGTTAACCGTGCCATTAGTAAAGTAAGCAAGGGGTAGGTGTAGTACTTTCTTGTTTCTGTTTACTCCGTTTATCCCGTTCTTGTTCGGCTTGGGGCGAGATGGCCCAAGTGACTAGAGCGCGAATTTACTGACCGGAAGGTCCGTGGTTCGAATCCGACCTCCACCACTCGACTTCCCCTGTCTAGGCTTGGGCAACCTGGCAGTATCCCAGCCCTCGTGCTTCCTTCGGGTGGCATGGCTGCTAGGCACCGGAAGAGTGCTACAGCTGAACGGTTTTTTATGGAGTGCAGGAGATACGTGCTCACAAGCAAGCATAACATGAGAAGGTCGAGAAAAATCACTCTAATGACCAAGAGGTGAGGTTGAGTTCAGAGGTTTATATGGTAAATTAGGTCACCGCGACACCTGGCAGCAGAAAGTAGTAAGTAGCAGTGTCTAAACTGGGATCGGCGCTGTCTAAAAGAAAACGATAAACTTTGAACTAAAGAGTCCAGATGCACGTAGTGTGAACGAAAAGATAAATCTAGTCTAATAAGTTATTCCCTTGCCCTAGGGTGCTCTACAGGCTGGGCTACCGAAGACGCCTGTTGCTCCTGAACCTCACAGGTGATTCATCATACCTCTGCCTAATGGATTAACAATTGGTGTCCGTCAGTGGCATTAGCGAGGCTCTTGTGTGAATTCCAAAAGCCACACGCTGATATCGTCTAAAGATCTGAAAGACTGAGATGTGTGTGTGGGAGGGTAATAAATGTTAAAATGAGAGGTACGGGTACATGTGACATGAACGAAAGTCTAAGGATGGGATTGCGAGTTCGGCGGTTCGAGTGCCTTCGGGAATATCTTTCAATTACCAAGTTAGCAGCTCTTGTGGGTGGCAACGATCAGTGAGTTCAGTGCTCTCAGTACTGATAACAAACCCTAAATTCGTTATGTTCACAATTATTTCCCAGTGTACGGAAAAAGAAAGGCCAAAGTACCCAATCCAGAGAAAAATCCAAGGCCCTATGATAATAAGAAGCTTTATCATATATATATATATATATATATATATATATATA